CCATCCGTGTGCCGTGACTCTCCATCCGTGTGCCGTAACTCTCCCGTCCATGTGCCGTGACTCTCCATCCGTGTGTTGTGACTCCAGCCGTGTGCCGTGACTCTCCATCCGTGGCCCGTGACTCCCCCTCACTCTGCACTCTCCATCCTGGTCTTCCCCCATCTCATGGAACCTTGGTTTCTCTTCTCGGTCCGCATCAGTCAGGAGCTTGGCCGAGCTGCTCCTTGGGTTCTGGGCGTGTGGGACATGCCGCGGGGGCAGTGCAGGTGCTGTCTCGGCTCCCAGGGCCTGTCTCCCTCCCCCTGGGCCTTCCTCGCCCTCCCTCTCGTGCCCTGTGTTCTGTGCACGGATCCTGGCGTACAGCAAACTTCAGTCGAGGCTGACAGCCTGCCCGTCCGGGTGAGCGGGTGGTGAGGACAGCGCCGTGGAGTCCAGCGTTTTCTCGCGGAGACATTCCTGGGAAAGAGCGTGATTTGCAGTGAACGTCTCCCATCGTGTTTGTTCCGGTCAGAGCCGTGAACCTCTGTACCAGCTCATGCGTGTTTCATTCTTAGCTGACCGCCTGGGGGTGAGGGGGTGAGGGGGTGAGGGTGAGGGAACAAGGGTGGAGGTAGGGCGGGGGTAGGAGCCAGGCAGGGGTGAGGCTGGGCCCAGCAGGGGTGAGGGTGTGAGGCTGCATGCCAGGCAGGGGTGAGGCTGTGAGGGTGGGGCCGGCAGGGGCGAGGGGGTGAGGGTGGGATTGGGCAAGGACGGGAGCCCAGCAGGAGTGAGAGCGTGGGGGGGCGGGGAGGGCAGGGGTGAGGAGGTGAGGGTGCGGATAGCGCAAGGGTGGGACCAAGAGGGGAGGGGCCTGTCTGCAGTCTCTGGCCTGCTGTGCTGGACTGGTCAGCGGGTGGGCTTGGCGGCTGCGGCTGGACGTGCCTAGTTTCTTTAGACTCTCCTGGGCTAAGAAGCGGCAGACGGGGAGAGGCTTCCCGCGCCCAGCTAGCCCGGGCCTGGGTGCAGGACAGGCCTGCTGCCTGCCAGCCAGGGCTCTAAGGGGGCGGCCCAGTCCCTGAGCGTGCAGAGTCCCCGCCTGACCGCCGTGTGCTGCCCATCCTGGGCACGGTGCAGCCTCAGACCAGCTACTCCCGCCCAGGCCTGGCCTATGGGCAGCGTCCCCCCGGGTGGCGGCTGTGGCCCCGTGCGGTGGGCTGCATCCCCGCTCCCCAGTCCCCTGGCTCTGCTGTGACCTCAGCAGGGTCACGGCCCGGGGGTCCCTCGCCCCAGCCCTCAGGCCCGGGTCCCCACCCAGTCAGGGGTGTTGTTTCTCCTCCACGGAGCTGCTTCTGCGCCCCCAAAGCGCCCGGCCTGGGAAGGGGAGACTGAGGGGCCGACATGGTCCATCGGTGCGGTGCTGGGCAGCGGGCCCCGCTGACCCTCCCTGGGTGCAGCCGCTGCTGGCCGGCCCGGGAGAGGGGGGGCACGGGAGAGGCCCTGGGTTTATTGGGTCCGGGAGCTTCTCCCTCTCCTGCCTCAGGGGCATCCGGCTCAGAGCGGCATGGCATCGCGGGGCTCCTGGTCCTGTGGCCAGGAGAGTGTGGGTGGACCCCACGGGTGGCTCACGTGAGTCAAGTCGGAAGGAGAGAAGGGCGATGGCTTCTCCCACTCCGCCTCTGCCCCCAGGGCCCCCGGGAAGACCAGGACTGGGGAGGTCTGCGTCGAGCCCCCGCCAGCCCCACCAGGTGGCCGAGGCCACACCTGACGTCTGCTTGGTCTGCCAGGCAGGGAGTTGGTCCCCGCCACCCAATTTCTCAGGGAGCCGCGGACTCGGGCTGGAGCGAGGATGTGGTCTTTGCAGGAAGGGAGAGTCGGCCCCAGGCCTTCCCCAGGGCTTTCGGGGTTCTTGTCTCTCCTCGCAGGAAAGAATTTCAGGAGCAGACTAGTGGTAAAGCGAAAGGGGTTTTATTGGGAGGCCTTTGGAGGTGTGGAGGGGGAGGGAGGGAGGGAGGGAGGACCACGCTCGAGGGAGAACAGAACGCAGCTTCTCCAAGGGCGGAGAGACCCCCACACACCCAGCATTAGGCAGGAAGGCATGAAAGTCCACACCTCAATTGAGAGGGCAGATGCGGGTGACACACGTGCTCGGCCACGTGGGCGCAAGCAGCACCTGGGCTCGGGCAGCACGCGGCCTCCCTTGGGCCAAGGCGGCCTCTAGAGGGTTCCTCCAGCTGCCCCCGTGTGGCTCCTGCCTGGGTCAGAGTCTCTTGCTGAGGGGGGGATTTGGGGGCGGCCTTCGAAGCTCCTTTTCCTGCGCTTCTCTGGGCTGAACCGCTGAAGTCCATGGGATCCAGGGAGAGGGTGTGCGAGGGGCTTCCTCCGCGGCAGGGGTCCGACCTCCTCAGGTCTGCCGAAGGTCTCATCTCGGGTCTCGCTTTCTGTTCCCACACGGTGGCTCAGCCTGGAACTCCCCTTCCCAGGAATTCCGCTGACCTGGGTTTCCCTCCTACTTCCCGCAGCAAGGACGGGGGGCATGAGGCCCTGATGGACTGTCCCCGAGCGGGGGCGGGGGGGAGGGAGACAGGGGACGGTGGGATGGGGGACGGGAGAACACGATGACATCGGGGATGGGGATGTCAGTGAGAGAGCACCCAGGGCCGCTTGTTCCCTGGGGGTCGGCGGGTTCCGGAAGGTTCCCCGCCCTGGGTCCTGTGAGGCGGGGCCCGTGCATGTTTGCAGGGGTGTGGGGTAGAGCAGCAGGCTCGAGGGCAGGCGGGGGTCAGCGTGAGGTGGGCACTGCCCCGTGGGGCCACTTGGGAGCTACACAGACCCAAGGAGGTGTGATTCTGTCAGAGTGAGGGGGCGGGGGGCAGCGGCCTGTGCTGCCCAGCAGCAAGGGGGTGCGGCCAGCACTGCCCAGCAACCAGTCAGCCCCGTGGACAGCTTAGGCCTGTGACAGTGACCGTGAACCCTAAGACCCACAACAGCGAAGGCCAGTCTGTGAATCTGAAGGTCAGGCCATGTCAGTGAAGGTCAGACCCGTGTTAGTGAAGGTCGTGCCTATGTCAGAGAAGGTCAGCCCGTGTCAGTGAAGGTCAGACCCATGTTAGTGAAGGTCGTGCCCATCTCAGTGAAGGTCAGCCCGTGTCAGTGAAGGTCAGGCCTGTGGCAGGGTCAATTCAGCATGAGTTCCCAGAAGGTGGGTTCTATCTCGTGGGCGTGAGGGTCCATCCCAGGTTGAGTTTAGGACGGCAGAGGTGAGTCTGGCCGGAGGCAGTGGGGCCCGGCAGGGTGTGACCTGCGGGTGCAGAGGAGCTGGGAGGCCCCTCGGGCACTCAGTCCCTGACATCCCCCCATGGCTTCCTGGGCCCTGCGTCTCACGGCGGCCGCGCTCAGTCTGGGAAGCCCCGAGCCTGCGACCTTGGTGACGGCCCACGACTGTCCCCTCGGGGCCCGCGCCCCTACTGTTGCCTCAGCTCCGAGTCCCCCCCCCCAGCTCAGGAAGTGCCTGCCAGCATGCGAGCGGTCAGCTGGGCATGGACGCTGGAATGCACGGGATAGGGGCCCCTCCCCCTGCTCGGGCCAGAGCCCAGCCCCTGCTGACACGGCACCAGCTGTCGGAGGCGTTGGGCAGGAGCTGGCCTGGGAGCTGGGGCGGGCGCCCTGAGCTGCCCAATCCGCTGGCCCAGACGAGGCCCAGGACAGGGGCCCACCCTCACCCGCAGCGGCTCCCGGCCCCCAGTGTTGCCCCCTACTGCCCAGGGACACGGGCCAGAGCAGCCAGCCTGCAGCGGGGTGGGGTGAGGGGCTGGTGGGTTCAAAAGGCCCGTGGAGACCACGTCCGTGTGCACGTGTGCATGTGCGTGTTGGTGGGCATGCGTGTGGCATGTGTAAGCAGGTGCATGTGTGTGAACGTGTGTGTACACGTGAGCATGTGAGTGCACATGCAAGCCTGTTTGAGCACTGCATGTGTGAGAGCATGTGAGCACGTATGTGTTGGCATGTGCAAGCACAGGGGTGAGCATGTGTAAGAATGTGTGGCGTGTATGTGTGTGTGTGTGTGAGTGCCGTGAGCAGGTGCGGGCTGCGTGTGAGAGCGGGTGCGTGTGCAAGCATGTTTGCGCATGTGTGCATGTAGACGTAGGCGTGTGCAAGAAGGTGGTGTGTGCAGGCACGTGTGAGCGTCATGTGCACGTGGAGCCATGTCTGCAAGTGAGTGTCGTGTGAGAATAGACGCGTGCGCAAGCCTGTTTGTGCGTATGAGCATGTGTGTGAGCACGTGTTGCCCAGTGTTTGGCTTGCGTATGCGTGGCGAGACCCATGCGTGTGCTGGTCCTTTCATCCTGGGCGCTGTAGCAGGTCAGCCATGAGCTGCGTTTCAGAGGCCGCATGTCATCGCCACACGTGGTGGGAAGGACGGGTCGTCCCTGCGGTCACCTGGACACCCCGCAGCCTGCGGAGGCTTTGCTGCCGGCTCTGCTGTGCCGAGGGGTCTGGGCTGCTGAGACGCCCCCGCGGGGCAGGGGGCAGTGATGGCTCGGGGCAGAGGTGAACCCATTGCCCTGTTCAGTGCTGTTCCGTCCGGGGGGTGGGGGCGCTGTCCATTTGCGGCCCAGTCGCCCTGGCTCTCAGGCCTCCTGTGGACCCCCCTGCAACAACTCGGCCTGCTCGACTCGTAACAGAGCGTCTACGTGGCCGAGGCTCGTGGGGAAGCCGCCCTGGGCTGTCCCTGGCCTGGCCACGCGTTGCCCGGTGCTGGGTCAGGGCCCAGCCTGCGTCCCGGTACAGTTCCAAGTTCAGGCAGAGACGGTGTCCAAAATCGGGCCCTGCCAGCCACACTTCCTGGGGAGTCTGCCCATCCCGGAGTGGTGGGGAGCAGACAGCACCGGGAGCCCCCGAGGGTGTCCTGCCTCCCGCAGGGACCCACGCCCCGCCATGCCCTCACCACCACCCTGACTGTCCCCAACTGTCCCCCGACCACAGCTCGCATGCCCTGACTGTGTTCTGTGTGCCCGCTGCAGGCGTACATGGAGGACCATCTGCGGAACAAAGGCCGGCTGCAGGAGGAGTGGCAGGCACTGTGCACCTACCAGGCGGAGCCCGGCATTTCGCTCGTGGCCCAGCGTGAGGAGAACGTCCCCAAGAACCGCTGTCCCGGGGTGCTGCCCTGTAGGTATCGGGGCTGTGGGTGTCCGGGAGGCGGGTGGGTCACAGGCTGCCGGGGCTGCCTGGGGCAGTGGGTGCTGTGCCCCCGCCCCGTGCCCTGCCCGCACACTCTCACCTCGTGGCCATTGTGAGCCCCAAGCTCGTCTCCCTCGTGGCCTGTGACTAGATCTGGCACCACTGCCTCGGGGAGCTGGCGTGGGGGCTGTGGGGATGCCTTCTGCGGCCAGACTCACCAGGGCCCAGCAACTGGCAGCCGTGAGCCCAGTGCAGTGGTCAGCTCAGGGCCCCTGTCAATACCACCGAGTGGCCACGGCCACTGTTGCTGTTTTTAAACTTGCACGATCTCAACCGTGGCACAGAGGACTGGCCAAGATGCCCGCTGGGTACTACTACAGCTGTCGAAAGAGCTTGTGCTAAATGCAGCGACCCGAGTACAGGACACAACTGTCCCACGTGTGCCTCACATGGCTCCTCTCCCGTGGCTGCGTGGCACGTGGCACCTCCTCTCCCGTGGCTGCGTCACATATCACCTCTGCCACGGCTGCATGGCACATGGCACCTGTCCTCACTGCCTGTGTGTTACATGCGCCCCGCGTGGCACCCGCCCCCTCACAACCTCGTGTGCGTCCCCAAACTCCGGGTCCTTCTCACTTGGGCCCCAGATGCTCCTGCAGGTTTCAGGCCACTGCTGGGCCCTGACGAGTGGGAACCCACAGAGGAGGGAGGCCCGGTTCTCCGACTCACACTTGTGAGCTGCATGATAAATGTGTGCAGTGAGCCTGTGTGCTTGTGTGTGCCATGTGTGCAGATGAGAGTACGTGTGTGTGTGTGCATTCAGGCACATGTACATGTACGTTCTAGCATATGCGCGTGTGTGTCCACCCAGGTACATGTGTTTGTGTGTGCATACATATGCATGCACTCAAGGACATGTGCATGTGTGGCTCCGTGTGCCTGCAAATGTGGATGTATGTGCACATGAGGGTCGTATGTTTATGAGTGTGTGCATGGGTTTACTCATGTGATCTGTATACACATTTGCACTTTTGTACGAACATGTATGTGTGTGTCATGTCGGGGCATGTGTGTGTGCACATGAGGGTGTGTGCTCCCCTGTACCTGTGCCTACAGCCTTACAGTGAGGCTGTGTGTGTGCATGTGAGACCGTTTGCTCACCTGCACCCATGCTACAGCCTTACGGCAAGGCTGTGTGTGTGTGTGTGTGTGTGTGTGTGTGAGGCCGTGTGCTCGCCAATATCTGTGCCTACAGCCTTACGATGAGGCTGTGTGTGTGAGACCGTGTGCTCACCTGTGCCCATGCCTACAGCCTTATGGCGAGGCTGTGTGTGTGTGCGTGGGACCGTGTGCTCGCCTGTACCTGTGCCTACAGCCTTATGACGGAGGCTGTGTGTGTGCGTGTGAGACCGTGTGCTCACCTGTACCCATGCCTATAGCCTTACGGCAAGGCTGTGTGTAAATGAGACTGTGTGCTCACCAATATCTGTGCCTACAGCCTTACGACGGAGGCTGTGTGTGTGGGTGTGTGAGAGACCGTGTGCTCGCCTGTATCCGGTGCCTACAGCCTTACGGTGAGGCTGTGTGTGTGTGCGTGAGACGGTGTGCTCGCCTGTACCCGTGCTACAGCCTGTGACACAAGCACAGCCACCGCATGTTTGATGATGCAGCCTAGTTGTGTGGCCCTGTCTCCCCACGTGTCCTGTCGGGGAAGCCCCCCACCCTGGTCTTCACATGACCACGTGCCCCGCACCCCAGATCTGCACACAACCACGTGCCCCCAACCCAGGTCTACACACCACCACGTGCCCCATGCCCTGCACCCTGGTTTGCACATGACCACGTGCCCTGCACCCCAGATCTGCACACGACCATGTGCCCCCCACCCGGGTCCGCACACAACCTGGTATTCCACACCCCACCACAGGCTGTCCCTGTGGGCAAAGTGACTCACCCCAGCATCAGGAAGTGCCCCCCACCCTTTGGGGACTCTTATCCATGTCGGCACCGTGTCCTTGGAGACTCATGGGAGAAGGGGACACAGCCTTCGGAGGAGCTGGCACACGGGAGGCAGGGGTGCTGTGGAGCCCCCAGACCATGTGCAGGACCCGCTGGCACCTGCCCCATGACTGATGCCCGTCCCCACATCGCCCGTGACGGTCGGGGCCCCTCACCAAGCCCGTCTCCTTGCCCTTCTCTCCAAGTAAGGTCACAGGGCAGAAGGCCAGTTCCACTGGGCCCATCTGGGGACACACTTGACCTTTGACACTGGGGTCCAGTGCAAGTGGATGGACCAGGATTGGCCCTGCTGCTGGGCCCCCTGAGGTGCACAGGTGTGGATCCTGCCTTCTGCTGGAGCCGGGCAGCACAGGGTACCGGAGAACCTTCCAGAACATGGTTCCCCAGGCCACCACCCCACCTCCCCTGGGAGCCCATGCGGAGGGACACTGGTGGAAAGTGTGAGATAAGCCAGGAGCTTATGGGGCCCTGACCGATCAGGACTGGCCACAGCTCCAAGACAAGCTGCTGGAGGTCCCCGGTGCCACCTCAGAGCCGCCTCCGGCCGTGGTGGGCTCCTGCTGGTGGGCATCTCTGCATCTCTGGATCGGGCAGCTACTCCTCGCTGGACCTGTCACTCCACTGCGCCAGGATCCGTGCCAGGGCCCCGGAGGCGGGTCCAGAGCAGCATTGGCCACTCCCCTGGGGGGAAACCCACTGCCCTCCCCGTGAACCTGGCCACGGTCTCCATGGAGGCACATCCAACTTAAGGCCTCCGGACTCTGAAAGGACGGGACTAGTCGGCGCGAGCGTCACTCGGTCCAACTCAGCACACTCCTGGGCCTCAGGGCCCAGTGATGAGCCGCGGGCAGCGTGGCCGGGCAGGGGCTCATTAAGGAGCAGACCAGCCACGCCACACAGACACATTCCACCCCAGCAGCCACGTTCCACCCCACAGTGATGCCACGCAGCCACATTCCACACCAGCAGCACCACGCAGCCATATTTCACCCCACAGCGATGCCACACAGCCACATTCCACCCCAGCAACCACGTTCCACCTCACAGCAATGCAACGCAGCCACGTTCCACCCCATAGCAATGCCACACAGCCACTTTTTCCCCAGCAGCCACGCCATGCAGCCACATTCCACCCCAGCATGGGAGCAGGACGCGGTGCTCATGGCAGCGCCCACCACTGCGGAGCAGCCTGGGCCCCGGGTGGAGATGACAGTGCCACAGCAGCTGGCAAATGACGGTGCAAGGGCAGCGGCCACCCGGGACCCTGGAGGCCGTGGTGTGAGCCTCACTGGCCCCACTGGCTCAGGCCAGTGTTGGATGCCATGTCCCATCAACGAGCTGCTGGGGTGGGATGCAGAAGGTTCTGGGGCCACAACTGACACAGTGACCAGGACAGAGGGTCCAGGTGTTTGTCTGTAGGTGAACTTGGTCCCTGTCCTTGCACCATTGAGTATGGTCACTCACACCTCTGAGAGAAGTCGCCCACATTCCAGGTGACACAGATATCTTGTGGGTCATCCGCTGCTGCTCCTGGGTCTCCGCTGTCCAGCCTGAAGTGTGGTCAGTCCCGGGGCCCCGAAGATGTGGGCAGCGGAGAGGAGAGATGGGAGATGAGAGCTGGTCATCCCCACGGGGCCTTGTCAGCCTGTAGCCACGTGTCAGCACTGGGGCTGCTGACCAGGCCAGCCGTGTTCTCTGTGCCTGCCTCTGCCGGGAAGACCGTGATGGTCTCGGAAACCGTGGGAAGCGACAGCCCCAAGCTCCAGCCAGCTCAGCCGCCGTAGGCCCACGAGTCTCCTGACCCCCAGAATTGTTCAAGCATGTCAGGGCACATGGGGAAGTGAGGGCAGCCAGCACCCCGCCGGCCCTGCCCTCCTCACTGTCCCTCCGGGGCCACGAGGTCTGACCCCACTCTGCCGAACCCCCAGCTGTGCCCACCAGGCTCCCCACGGGCGCCCCCACTACCCACTGCCACGGCTTGTTCTGACCTGGCCCCGTCATCCTTGGAAGGTTCCGAGAAGCAGGCAGGAGGGGAGCTCTCTCGGGCCACGCGCTCCCGGGGCTGTGTCCGGCTGCCTCCAACACATCGTCCACACACATGCGTCCACACAGCCTCGCCGGGAGCCAGCCGTGGGCTCTGAGGGGCCAATTCCACGGTGGCAGCTATGGCACACACGCCTGTGATTGTCCTGGAGCCTGGGGCAGCTCTGCACGCCCTTCCGTGGACCTCCAATGGAGAGGGCAATGGGGACACGGCATGCCCTGGGCATGGCGCTCCTGCCACACACGGGCCCACCCCTGAGTCTGCCCTCCTTCCCCACAGATGACCACTCCAGGGTCCTGCTCAAGGTGGAGAACGGCCACAGCCAGTCGGACTACATCAACGCCAGCCCCATCGTGAGTGCCCAGGGCGCAGGGACACGGGCCAGGGTCCAGCCCCATCGTGAGTGCCCAGGGCTCAGAAACACGTGGACCAGTGTCCAGCCCCATCTTCACAGACTCAGGGACTGTGGCCTTGTCCCCGGCCAGCTGTTCCCGTGTTCCCTCTCCTGCCCCTCGTGGCTCTGAGTTGGTGTTGAACTAAGGTCCCACGAGCGAGGTGCATCCCTGTCCATCCACCCCACACGTGCTGTGCTCGGTCTACTCTGAGAGGGACGGCCCAGAACAGGGCACCAAGCAGGGCCCAAGAGTGCCAGGGTGCCCCGAGGCACAGGCCTGTGGGTGACTCGGCTGAGCCACACCCCACATGGGTGAGACACAGCACTGTGGACACCCAGGGCGTGGGGAGCTCCGGGCTCCTTCCGTGCAGCTGGCCACGGAGGTCACGCAGAGGCCGTCCTTGTGACACAGGGTGTAGGAGTCACGTGAGCAGGGGAACGTGTGGCGTGGAGGTGCCCGCCCATTGCCGGGCGGTGTTAGTAGGGGGTCCCCCCACCCGGCTTGTTCCCACCTTGTCCTCAGACCCTCCAGGCCAAGGGGCTCGTGTTCGTCCTTTGGGTCCTGCGGTCCTGCTGCTGTTAGGGGCATTGCCCGGCTCCAGGCTGGTCCCCCAGATGTCCCTCCGTTCACGCGCTGGAGTGAGGGGGGCGGGGCGCGGACGTGCGGAGGGCCCTTCCGGCAAAGCTGACCCCCGTCCTGTCTCTGCAGATGGACCACGACCCACGTAGCCCCGCCTACATCGCTGCCCAGGGCCCGCTGCCCACCACCGTGGCCGACTTCTGGCAGGTCTCTTCGCACTCGGGCCGTTTCCGGAGGGGGGTGAATGGCCGTGGCATGCCGAGATGCCCCGTGGACAGCCCCGGGCCCCCGGGCCCTTTCCTTTCCAGAGTGTGGGCTGTGGCCCCAGGGTCTTCACTGCTGGCCACTCCTGGCTCTGCTCACCTGCTGCGCCCTTCTAGGCTGGGGAGGGAGCGAGGGGCTCGCGGACCCCCACTGTGGAGCTGGTGGTTCCGTCACAGCAGGCTCACCCCGCCACAACCCCACACACCAGGCCGGGCCCAACCCAGGGAGGTAGGGGAGATCGGGACGGTGAGGACAGGGCGGGGCGGGGTGGCGAGGGCCCCAGGAGGTGGGGCAGTCGCTGGCCAGGTGGCTGGTCGGTGGCGTGTCACAGGATGGGCAGGCACGACACATGGACTGCCTGGGGAACTGGGTCTCATGGGGTCCATGTGGGTGTCCCCGGACAGGGCTGAGGAGCCGGCCCCAATTCCTCTTCCTCTCCCTGGCAGCCCTGAAGGGAAGCGACACTCGCGGCTCCTTCGGAGTGGGCTGGGTCGGCTCCAGGCAGAGGCGGAGGGCACCCGCAGCCAGGGAGACACGGGAGTCGTGTGTGAGCGTATCTGAGCATGTCTGAGTCATGTTGTCGTCATGAACATGCGAGAGGTATATCTGAATAGGTGTGAGTCACGTGTGAACATGCCTAAATCATCTGAGTCATGTGAGCACGCCTGAATCATGTGTGAGCATACCTGAGAAACACAGTATGGGAAACAGCAGTGAACCGTGCCTCGTGGGCACCCATTCATACCACACGTGGTGACACTGTCCGGGTGTGGTGGCGGGTGTGTGTGATGTCCAGCCTGAGAAGGGGGAGGGCGCCATGGTGTCCGTGTGCCACAGCCCCTGTTCTGGTCAGGCTGTCCTCCCGCTGATGGTGATCCTGGCCCAGAGCCCGGCCTGAGCCATCCCTCTGGCTGTGTCATGCCCCACAGCCCATCAGTGTGACCAGCCGGGCCCACCTCTGAGACAGTGGCACCCGCATCAGGCCTCTGCCTCAGTGTCCCTGCGTCCCCCGTCCTGAGCCAGGGCTGTGGCACGGGCAGGGGCCGGTGCCTGTCCTGTGGCTGGCCCGGCTCCTCCCCAGGGAAGCTAGACCTGCCCTCCGGTCACTGGCAGCTTTTCCCTGATGCTGCCCTTTGAGGCCTGGCCCCGTGCTCGGGGTCCTGTGCACAGACCCTGAGGTGGCCCGGCCTAGCCTGTCACCTCCCTCCCCGTCCCACCTTCCCTCCCCTGGCTGTCTTGCCTGTGCACCCCCTCGGGTCCCGGCATGAAGAGGGACGCGGCACCCCTGGGGGTGACCCTCTGTGGGGTGCGGATGGAGGCCCAGTCGGGGGGCTGCCCCTCGTGAGAGGCTCAGGGTCCACATAGCTGCCGTGGGGGCCCTCGGTGATGGCGGCTCTGTCCCCAGTGGCCGGGGGTGTCACTCCTGGCGGTGCTCAGGGGACCATATGGGATGCTGGGAACCGAACCCGGGTCGGCCGCGTGCAAGGCAAATGCCCTCCCCGCTGGGCTATCGCTCCAGCCACGCGCTGCATCTTTGGTGGCTCACAGCAAGAGGAATGTCCCGTAGCAGGAGGGGCACGTGAGCACTCCAGTGGAATGTGCTAGAAAGGAAGGACTGTTCCCCCAGTGAGCTGCCTGCCGAGAGGCCAGGGTCCTGCTCCTCTGGGCAGGGAGGGTTTGGAGGCCTGGCAGTCGCCACCCAGATGGCGTGGGGCCCCACAGGCCGGGCCCAGCTCCCCGACCCACAGCTCTGTCGTGGCGGCACTTGGAGCCGTGCGGGACAGCTGCCCTGGCCACCCTCAGCGCCTGAGAGAGGCCCGGGACAGCCCCTGCCTCTTGGGTTTCATTCGAGCCGAATCCTCAGGGGTCAGTGGGCTCGGGGGAGGCGGGTGAGACTCGGCCACTGGGACGCAGAGCTAGTGTGCACACCGCCCTGGTCATGTCATGTGTTCGTGGCCCCACACACTGTCTCCTCACTTCCATGACGCGTCCCTGAGCTTCCCCACCTCCCGGGGCACCTGCGGCCACTCCGGGTGGGTGAGGACAGACTACGGGAGGCTCCAGGCACTGCAGGGTCGGGAAGCCCACAGGCGGCGGGCAGGAACTGCATGCGGGGCAGCTCACCGCACACCCTGGGCCTGGCACTCGGCCGACATGGCTTGGCCGGGGGCTTTTCACCCCGCACAGCCGGTAGGGGCACCGGCTCCCCCGAGCGGGAGCCAAGCACGTGTGGGTGGCTGTGTTGTCCGGAGCGGAGGCCTGGGAGGGCATGGCCACGGCAGTGACGCCACTTGTATGTCCACAGATGGTGTGGGAGAGCGGCTGTGTGGTCGTGGTCATGCTCACGCCCCTGGCCGAGGGTGGCGTGCGGCAGTGCCACCACTACTGGCCCGACGAAGGCTCCAGCCTGTACCACATCTACGAGGTACGAGCCCAGCCGCCGTGGGAGTCGGGCATGGTGTGGGGGGGGAGGGGATGAGGGCACGGGGGGGAGGGGCACAGCAGTCCTGCCAGGCCCAGCCCCAGCCTCAGCCGAGGACGGCGTCCCCTGTCACGGCACGTCCCCAGGCCGCCGCACCCTCCAGCTGCTGGTCCGGGCGGCCTGTGGCGGGACCCAGCCTCCGTGGGGTGCACGTTTCCACAGCTGCACTTTCACCCACACACCGTGTGTCTCCGGGGACCCAGCAGAGCTTTCCATGCCAGTTCCCACTGCCGGTCCTCACCCGTGGCACATCCTGCTGCATGTCCAAGCCGCTCGCATGCCCACAGGGCACCTGACAGGGTGTGGGGCAGACGTGGCATGTGGGCCCGTGGCCTGCGTGTCTCCGGCTGGACGGGGCCTCCTGGCACGGTGTGGAGGTGCGGGGGCCCCCGAGCGGCCCCCGAGTCCCCGCCCCGGGCCCTGCTGAGTGGCCGTGTCTGCTGCCCAGGTGAACCTGGTGTCGGAGCACATCTGGTGCGAGGACTTCCTGGTGCGAAGCTTCTACCTGAAGAACGTGCGGACCCAGGAGACACGCACCGTCACCCAGTTCCACTTCGTCAGCTGGTACGACCGGGCCGTGCCCGCGTCCACCCGCTCGCTCCTGGACTTCCGCAGGTACGGGGCGCCCTGGCCGCTGGGCTTGGGGGGCAAGGGGGGAGGGGCGGCCCGGCCGGCCTGGGCCTGACCCAGCCGGTCACAGCCCCCCGGGGGCGGGTCACAAACGTCCTGGTCTCGGATGTGCAGAGGAGGCGGCGTTGGGCCAAGCTGAGCTTCATGAGGGCGGGCTCCCCGGGCAGGCCCAGCCGCAGGGACACGGCCCCTGACGAGGCTGCTTCGGGTTGGGAGAGGGCAGCCCTGCTCGGCGGGGCCTGACACAAGGGGGCCGCTGCCTCTGAGCTGGGCAGCGCCCGCCCCTCCCTGCCTGCCCCTGAGGGTCGCACACGGGTGTCCAGTGGGGCTCGGGGAGGACGGGGCCCACCCCACGTGTCTTCACCCTCCTGGGCCCTCCCAGGCTTCAGGGGAGTCGTCCCAAGGGTGGCCAGGGCTCCCGCCCGCTCCTCAGCGTGGCCAGGGCTGCGGTGACGCTTTTTAGTGCCCAGGCCCAGCTGGGGCCGGGGCAGGCTGAGGCCAGCGCACGTCTGTCCGGGCACCCGGCCGAGGCCCACGAGGAACAGAGGGGGCCTGACCTGGCGCCCCGCCCCTTCCCACCCTCGTTCTGGCCGGTGCAGCCGCGCCCTCCATCTGCCCGGCTGCTTCCCGAGGCCAGTCACGGCGCCCTGGGTGTCCACGCGAGTGGGCTCAGCACGGGCTGCCCACCTGCCACGGGTCCTGGCCTTGGGGAGGGCTCCGGGGCCCAGACACGGGTCTCAGGTCCCGTGTTGGACGCGGCCTGGTGTGGGGGCTTCCCGTTCTGACCGAGGGCGAGCGAACGGACGCTGGCCTGGGCCCCAGAGGGGGTGGGAAGGCAGGCGGCCCCCAGGACCCGGCCAGCAGCCGCCTGGAGGGCCTCCTCACGGGCTGCTGGTCTGTGCGTCAGCCCCAGCCACCAAGACGTGTAATTAAATATTTCTGGAGCCCAGAGGGAACGCATTTACACTTTAAAGAGAAGCTGCTAAAGCCAAGAAAGAGATAATTAGCGTCACATGCGAGGGCTCTGCTTTCAAGTCTCTCTCCCGCTCGCTCGCTCCCTCTCTCCCTCCCTCGCTGCCTCTCCCTCATGCTGTCTGTCACGGTGGCCTCTAACGCTGCCCGTAGAAACGGACACACCCTTACTTTGCCAGCTAATTAGCGGTGGCCGGTGTCATTTTTGTGATGTTGCAGCTAGTAATATGAGTCCAGTTGCATAGTCACAAAAGTGATCATTGGAAACTGTGTCTGCTGCTGCACGGACAGTGTGGGCCGCCCTTGCCCCAGCTCTCACGACCTCTGACCTTTGCACGCTCCCGCTCTCTGCAGTGACCCAGGGTCGGTTTGTATTCACTCCTCTGCTGCTCCGAGTGTGTGCTCCCTCTCGCCCTGACGTCCGCCCGCGCGAGGGAGGCTGCATCCTGGGGTCGTCACCAGCCCCGCCCGGGCCGAAGGGTGCTCCCCCCGCCCCACCGTCCCCACCCTTGCAACGCTTCCACCTCCCTGGGGCTCCCGGGAGCCCCGCAGCCCATGGGCTTGGTCACACGACTCTCGACCTGAGCACCCACCACCCCCCATTGCTTGAGTGGGTCCGCAGGCGGCGGACACTGGCAGGAGGCTGCTGAGGCCGGGGTGAGGCCACAGCTCACCTGAGGGTGCTCAGGCACCAGCTGACGTGCCGTGAGGAGGCAGGGAAGGCCGCTCCCCGGAGGAGCGGGGGCCCTGACACGCAGCACACGGCACACACGCACAGACACGGGCACACACGCACATTGAGGTGTGTGGCCCCGTGCACAGACGCGCGTGCCGGTCTGATTCGCCGCGCACGCGTGTTCCTCCACAGGGGTCCACGCTGCTGAGCGGTGGGCTGCATCCCACCCCCGTGGCAGCCTGAGGCCTGGCAGCCTCTGTCCACTGCTCTGGGCACCTCTGCCCAGCAGCACCTGCAGAGGCTGGGCCCCGCCTGCCACCTGCAGAACGCCTCGTGTGGGCGCAGTGGTTGGGTGCTCCCACTCCTCCCCCGTGAGCACCTCGCCTGGAGCTGCCGGGAGTCCCACAGCCCTGAGGGCGTCACCTGCAGGACACACCCGTCCCGCCCACTGCCGCCCAGGGACAGAGAAGCACTTTCTGGGGTGCCCTGCCTCCCCCCCGCAGCCCCTGCTCTGACCCTCTCCTGGGGAACAGACTCCCCCGGTGTGTGCCCGTCCTCCCGCCCACGCCAGAGCCCACCCCCAGCCCAGCTGCTGATTTTGCCGCACCAAGGGCAGCTCCAAGTTCTCCATGTGTTCAGCCGAGCCTCACGGTCGGTCGTCGCCGGGGCGTTCTCTAAGTCGGTGCCACCTTCTGAGAAGGGGCGGGTTCTCGACATCGCAGTCACTTAGGTTCCCGCAGAAGGGAAGCAGTCGGGTGTGTGCCTGGCCGGGAGCTTGGAGCCAGCATGCGCCCCTGCGCCCGATCCCGGTGGAAAGTCCAGCTGCTCCTCGCGGCGTGACAGCCAGGGCAGCGGGGCGGCCGCGGTCCGGCCCCGAGAGGACGCGCCAGGCGTGTGCCCCCACTGCGCTCAGCCTGTAACCGGGCTCTCTGTCTCTTCTGTTTCAGAAAAGTAAACAAGTGCTACCGGGGCCGTTCTTGTCCAATAATTGTCCACTGCAGGCAAGTACCACCCCCGTGACCGTGAAGCCTGGTCCCTGCGTCCCCGCACCCGCCGGGGTATTCTCAAGGCCCGGCGCGTAGCTAAGGCCCTGCCCAAGGAGGCCAGGGCGCCGCACCAGGCCAGCCCCGAGGGCCCGGCACCACCCAGCACCTGTGCCCGTCCCGTCCTCGAGCCCCGGTGCCCAGCCCAGGGACGCCCACATGGCCCATGTGTGTGACCTCTTCCTAGCGGGCAAACCCATCACCCCGGGGCGCTGGCCTAGTGGTGAGAGGGCAGGGCATGTCCCCAGTGGGTGAGTCCTCCCCTCCCGCCGGGGACGGGGTACTGAGCTCTGCACAGGCCAGACACTACATGTGTGTCTGAGTGTGTCGTGTGTGCGGGTGTGTGTATCTGGGTATATATATGAGTGTGTCTCTGTGTCTCTGTGTATGAGTGTGTCTATGTATCGTTGTGCCTCTGTGTGTGTCTGTGTTCGTGTGGCTGTGTGTATGTTGTGTGACTCTGTATGTATATGAGTGTGTTTGTGTCTGTGTATAAATGTGTCCATGTGTGTATGAGTGTTTCTCTGTATCAGTGTTCTGTGTCTGAGTATCTGTGACTGTGTGTGAATGAGTGTATCTGTGTCTCTGTATCTCTGTATCACTGTACGTCAGTATGTGTCTGAGTGTGTGTCTGTGTGTGTCTATGTGTGTCTGAGTGTGTGTCTGTGTGTGTCTGAGTGTGTCTATGTGTGTCTGTGTGTGTCTGAGTGTGTGTGTGTCTGTGTCTGAGTGTGTGTCTGTGTGTCTGAGTGTGTCTCTGTGTGTCTGAGTGTGTGTGTGTCTGTGTTTGAGTGTGTGTGTGTCAGTGTGTCTGAGTATCCGTGTGTCTGTGAGTGTGTCTGTGTGTGTGTGTCTGTGCCGCCCGTGTCTCTGTGGGAGAGGATCTGAGTTGAGACCCTCAACAGCACATCGAGACCCTCCTGCCCGGACGGTTGTCTCTGCCGTGCCAGGAGGGTCGCAACCTGCCAGGCACACATGGGAGGACCGCGGGGGCTGAGACGGGCCGGGGTGGGGCGTGTGCCCGGGGCCGCGGCTTGGGCAGAGCGCAGTGGAGGGAGGCATGTGGCTGCTGGTGCCAGACCCCGGCTTTGCAGTCTCAGGCCCAGAGCTGTGCTTGGGCAGTGGGTGTGGCACCCTGACGGCTCCTCCACCAGGCCAGGGTCCCTCACGGGCGACAGAGACGGGGCCCGGGGGTGCCCAGCCCCAGGGACAGGCACAGACACACGTCCTGGGGGCCACGCTGGCACAGCTCAAGTTTGAGCCCAGCAGGGAGAGGCGGGGGACCCCTTCTCAGGGCCGCTCCCGGCTGGGCTCTGGGGTCCCCCCTGCCGGCAGCCCCGCGGGCCCCACACCCAGGAGCAGCTCTGAGCACCGAGGAGTGAAAACAGGCACTGAGCCCTCCCCTCCCCACGCCGCCAGCCTGTCCCGGAACACCCTGGGCGGGCCACGGCCTGTCACCTCTCTCCTTTCTCGGCAGTGACGGTGCGGGCCGGAGCGGCACTTACGTCCTGATCGACATGGTTCTGAATAAGATGGCCAAAGGTGAGGCGTGCTGCGGCCTGGTGGCCCCAGCTCCCCCCTGTGGTGCGAGTGCCCGCCCCGCGGGCGCCCCATGCCAGGCATCCCCAAGTCCAAACGCCGCATGGTGAGGGTGTGCTGTGACGTCCCTGCAGCGCAGGGCCGCCGAGGTCCCCAGGGTGCTGCCCTCTGAGGCACCGTCTGGGAGCCCCATGCCCAGCCCCACTCGCCAGGCTGAGCCAGGACCTGCCGCACAGGGACGGGAACGTGGGAGGGGCTGAACCTGGCTCTGCACGCTTGCACGCTCCCTCTCACACACGTGTGTCTGTGTGGCCACACACACGCATGTGTGCCTGCATGGTCACACAATGCACAGACTCCAACGTACATGTGTGCACTCACATGCACACCCACGTGCATCCATTACACACAATGCATTCACGCTCTTACGTGACCACACGCGTCCATGTGTGTGCACTCACATGCATTCACACACCCGCACTCACACAGGCACACCCACATGCGTGGTTGCACACACACTCACACACGACACCCGTGCATGCGTGCTTGCGTGTGACCCGGCCACCCCGGGTCTGTCCTGTGGCTGCAGGGGCAGCAGGCACTGGTCACAGCTGGGAGTCTCTGTGCCCTCCTAGTTGCTGGGTCCCCACACAGGAGGGACCAGGCTTGCGTCGTCCAGGCGTCCCCTGTGACTGGAGTGTCCGCTGGACATGAGGACCAGCTACAGGACTCACTGTGACCCCGGCCTGGCTACAGCAGCCCAGATCAAAGGCTCTTCTGGCTGACACCCAGAGCTGCTGTGGGGCTGGGCTGGGCTGGGCTCTGGGCTGGGCTGGGCTGGGCTGGGCTCTGGGCTGGGCTCTGGGCTGGGCTGGGCTGGGCTCTGGGCTGGGCTGGGCTGGGCTCTGGGCTGGGCTCTGGGCTGGGCTGGGCTCTGGGCTGGGCTGGGCTCTGGGCTGGGCTGGGCTCTGGGCTGGGCTCTGGGCTGGGCTGGGCTGGGCTCTGGGCTGGGCTCTGGGCTGGGCTGGGCTGGGCTCTGGGCTGGGCTCTGGGCTGGGCTGGGCTGGGCTGGGCTCTGGGCTGGGCTCTGGGCTGGGCTGGGCTCTGGGCTGGGCTCTGGGCTGGGCTCTGAGCTGGGCTCTTGGCTGGGCTGGGCTGGGCTCTGGGCTGGGCTCTGGGCTGGGCTCTGGGCTGGGCTGGGCTCTGGGCTGGGCTCTGGGCTGGGCTCTGGGCTGGGCTGGGCTCTGGACTGGGCTGGGCTGGGTTGGGCTCTGGGCTGGGCTCTGGGCTGGGCTCTGGGCTGGGCTCTGGACTGGGCTGGGCTGGGCTGGGCTGGGCTCTGGGCTGGGCTCTGGGCTGGGCTCTGGGCTGGGCTGGGCTGGGCTCTGGACTGGGCTGGGCTGGGCTGGGCTCTGGGCTGGGCTCTGAGCTGGGCTCTTGGCTGGGCTGGGCTGGGCTCTGGGCTGGGCTCTGGGCTGGGCTGGGCTCTGGGCTGGGCTCTGGACTGGGCTGGGCTGGGCTGGGCTCTGGGCTGGGCTGGGCTCTGTGCTGGGCTCTGGGCTGGGCTGGGCTCTGAGCTGGGCTGGGCTCTGGGCTGGGCTCTGGGCTGGGTTGGGCTCTGGGCTGGGCTGGGCTGGGTTGGGCTCTGGGCTGGGCTCTGGGCTGGGCTCTGGGCTGGGCTGGGCTCTGGACTGGGCTGGGCTGGGTTGGGCTCTGGGCTGGGCTCTGGGCTGGGCTCTGGGCTGGGCTGGGCTCTGGGCTGGGCTCTGGACTGGGCTGGGCTGGGCTGGGCTCTGGGCTGGGCTCTGGGCTGGGCTGGGCTGGACTCTGGACTGGGCTGGGCTGGGCTGGGCTCTGGGCTGGGCTCTGGGCTGGGCTCTGGACTGGGCTGGGCTGGGTTGGGCTCTGGACTGGGCTGGGCTGGGTTGGGCTCTGGGCTGGACTCTGGGCTGGGCTCTGGGCTGGGCTCTGGGCTGGGCTGGGCTCTGGACTGGGCTGGGCTGGGTTGGGCTCTGGGCTGGGCTCTGGGCTGGGCTCTGGGCTGGGCTGGGCTCTGGACTGGGCTGGGCTGGGTTGGGCTCTGGGCTGGGCTCTGGGCTGGGCTCTGTGCTGGGCTGGGCTCTGGGCTGGGCTCTGGACTGGGCTGGGCTCTGGGCTGGGCTCTGGGCTGGGCTCTGGGCTGGGCTGGGCTCTGGACTGGGCTGGGCTGGGCTGGGCTCTGGGCTGGGCTCTGGGCTGGGCTGGGCTCTGGACTGGGCTGGGCTGGGTTGGGCTCTGGACTGGGCTGGGCTGGGTTGGGCTCTGGGCTGGGCTCTGGGCTGGGCTGGGCTGGGCTGGGCTGGGCTCTGGGCTGGGCTCTGGGCTGGGCTGGGCTCTGGACTGGGCTGGGCTGGGCTGGGCTCTGGGCTGGGCTCTGGGCTGGGCTCTGGGCTGGGCTGGGCTCTGGGCTGGGCTGGGCTGGGTTGGGCTCTGGACTGGGCTGGGCTGGGTTGGGCTCTGGGCTGGGCTCTGGGCTGGGCTGGGCTGGGCTGGGCTCTGGGCTGGGCTGGTCCCAGCTGGCCTGGTCGCCATATGCCGTGGCCTGGGGCGTGGGGGTCGCACTGCAGAGCCTCATCCACACCCAGATCCAAGACCAGAGCAAGCAGGAAACGGACCCACTGGCCCCTTACCTCGGAATGTGCCGTCGCGCCCAGCCTCGGCCAGGCTGTGTGGCCCCAGTGTGCCCGTGGTCCTGTGGCACGGGTGGCGAACGACTGCACAGGCAGAGGGACTCGAGGTGCCCAGGCGGGGCCGGCACACCCTCCACGTGTGGCCGGAGCGCGAGACTGTGGGTCCCCGTGTCCCAGACGCTCGAGTCCCCCTGCCTGAGCAGGAGAGCAGGACCGCGGGCGCCCACAGCCACTGCAGACAGGCGCCCACCGCGCCCTCCACTGCCCAGCCCGGCGGGCACTCGGGCCACGTCCAGTCACTTGCAGCCACTTGCGCCTCCTTCCCGACAGTCCACCTGGGGGTAGCCGGGCACCGGGGCCCACCACCGGTGCCAGGAGTGTCGAGGGGAGCGTGTGTGTGTGTGTGGGGAGTGTGGAGGGGACACGCGTGTGGTGTGCGGAGCATGGGCACATGGACACATGCGTTCATGACGGGGACACGGAGACACAGATGCGCTGTGGGGTCCAGGGGTGAGTGAGCACGTGGAGACCTGCGCGCACGCGTGTGCACATGGTGCTGTGTGTGCCTGCGAGCGTGTGTAAGCGTGCAGTGGCCTCTGGACACACAAGTGCACCAGGGAAAGCCGTGCCTGGCCCGGGCCCCAGCTGGGTCCTGCTGGCCCACGGCACCGCAGAGAGGTGCGCAGCCATCTGGGTGCTCCTCCAGGCTCGCCCCGTTTGGTTCTGTCCTTCCTGTGGTGCCGCAGGAGCTGGAGCACGGGGTGGTGCCGGGGTATCAGGGTGGGCAGGTGTGAGGACTGGGACAAGGCTGAGCCGGGATGTTGGAGCTGTGCAGGGGTGGGTGGGGCTGAGCGGGGGTGTTGGAGGCTGGGCAAGGGTGTGTGGGCTTGGTGGGCTGTGCAGGGATGCGTGGGGCTGGGCGGGGTTATACAGGGGTGTGTGGGCTGTGCAGGGATGGGCGGGGCTTTGCAGGGGTGCGTGGGGCTGGGTGGGCTCTGCAGGGGTGTGTGGGGCCGTGCAGGGCAGGGAAGGGGCAGACAGGTGGGACAGAGGCAGGGACAAGGCTATGCAGGGGTGTTGGAGCTGTGCAGGGGTGTGTGGGGCTGGACAGGGCTGTGCAGGGGTGTGTGGGGCGGGGCTGTGCAAGGGTGTTGGAGGCTGAGCAGAGGTGTGTGGGCTTGGTGGGCTGTGCAGGGACGCATGGGTTTGGGTGGGATTATGCAGGGGTGTGTGGGAGACGGGCAGGGGTGCGTGGGGCTGGGTGGGTTCCGCAGGGGTGTGTGGGCTTGGTGGGCTACGCAGGGACAAGGCTGTGCAGGGGTGTTGGAGGCTGAGCAGGGGTGTTAGAGGCTGAGCAGGGGTGTTGGGGCTGGACGTGGCTGTGCAGGGGTGTAGAGGGCGGGGCTGTGCAGGGGTGTTGGAGGCTGAGCAGAGGTGTGTGGGCTTGGTGGGCTGTGCAGGGACGCATGGGTTTGGGCGGGATTATGCAGGGGTGTGTGGGAGACGGGCAGGGATGCGTGGGGCTGGGTGGGTTCCGCAGGGGTGTGTGGGCTTGGTGGGCTACGCAGGGACAAGGCTGTGCAGGGGTGTTGGAGGCTGAGCAGAGGTGTTAGAGGCTGAGCAGGGGTGTGTGGGGCTGGACGTGGCTGTGCAGGGGTGTTGGAGGCTGAGCAGCGGTGTGTGGGCTTGGTAGGCTGTGCAGGGGTTGGCAGGGCTGTGCAGGGCTCTGCAGGGGTGTGTGGGGCCGTGCAGGGCAGGGAAGGGGCAGACAGGTGGGACAGAGGCAGGGCAAGGCTGTGTGGGGTGGGCACAGCCTGCAGGGGTGCGTGGGGGTGGGCAGGCCCTTCCCTTCAGGTGTGGGGGCGTCCACGTGTGCAGGAGAGGCGGGCGTCTCCTGGGGGACACACACGGAGCTGAGGTCCCCGTGTCCAGCTGCCCGGAGGGACCTGCTCCCGCCCCGCGGGCCAAGGCCAGGCCCGTGAACTCAGACCCAAGGGCCCCAGGGCCGGGCCGGGCTGGTCTCTCCTGGGACGTGGCTGGATGCTTTTGGGCCGAGGCTCCCTCACGGGGGTCGCCTCGTGGTCACCTGTCAACAGGTCACCCGTCTGCTGCTCTCTCAAGCCACTGCCCCGAGGCTTCTCCGGGCGCCCTCTGAGGTGTCCTGGGTGGACACTGCAGGAAAGGGGCAGTCCTGGGGCAGGCCGCAGTGGGGGTGCCGCCCTTGGGCCCCCTCCCCTGGACCCCGTCCGCAGCAAGCAGTGCTCAGTGCTGGCGACCAGGCGCGCCTCCTGCTCCCTCGGGAACTTGCAGAGACCCTCAGCTGGGCACATGCCTCCCGCGCAGCCCCCAGGCACGAGACTGGGAGAAGCAGCCCCTCTCCCCCAGGGGGGCTGCGTGCTGGGCCGGGTCACGGCTGCCCCGGTGCTGGCTGGCCGTGCGCCTGTCCTGGTGGTCCCCGCGCTGCGGGCGTGTGCGAGGTTCTCTGGCACCCTGTTCCCACCCCGCACCCACCTGGAAGGCCGCGGCAGGTGGGGGCCCCCTGCACCCCAGCTCTGCATGGGCCCACCCCTGCCAGTGGGTGGGGGTCCCCAAAACCCATTCCAACATGGGGCTTGTCTGGGGCCGCGGGGTGATTCTCCCCACCCCACGGGGTGTCCCCCAGACCCTGAGAAACGGGGCTGGGCTGGCCCCAGAGTGGCTCTGGCACCGAGCTGTTGTCCAGCGGGCAGAGTGACCCCGGACCCAGCACCCTGCGGGACCAGGACCGAGGCTGGCCGGTGGAACCAAAGCTCAGGCCCCTCCCTGGCTGCAGCCCCCTCCCCCGCTTTGGGGCCCCTCACCCCTGCAGGGCGGGGGCGCCCTGAGGTCGGCGGCTCCGGGAGGCGGGACCCCCACGCCTGCCCTAGAACCATGGCGATGAGATTAGCCGCCTAATTTGTCATCGCCCTAAAATAGAAAAATCCCGTGTGCGTGGAGCCACAGCCCGCGGCTGCTCTCGGTGTTCTCGGCGTCCTGTAAGACGCCACCCCAGAGGCGCTGCTCCGTTGCCATGGCGACGGTTGCCACGGTGACGGCACCTAGGCGGAGGATCAGGATTCCAGCCGGCTCGCCAGGGTGGGCGGGCCTGCCGGCAGGGAGCCGTGTGCCGCTCCCTCCCCTCCCCGCTCCCCCGGTGCTGCCCCGGCCCACCCGTCCACAGCTCGCCCCTGTCTCCGTGCAGGCGCTAAGGAGATCGACATCGCGGCCACCCTGGAGCACCTGCGGGACCAGAGGCCTGGCATGGTGCAGACCAAGGTACCGCGGCCGCGGGGGGTCGGGGTGGCTTCGGGCTGGGGGCAGCTCAGGACTCACGGCACTCAGGGGAGCTGGACAGGGCCAGAGAATGTCCCGGGGGTGTCGCGGCTGCCCGAGCACCAGGGGCATCGCGGGCCGGACAGACACGAGCCTTGCGCCTGGCCACGGCTGGTCCCATCCTGCACCCATGGGCCCCAAGCCCCAGTAGGGCTGAGCACAGCCACGAGCTGCCTTCGTGTGTCTCGGGGCACTGCCCAGGCCCTGAGGAGGAAGAGCCAGGCCAGGCTGCAGGGCAGCGCCTGGCCCTTGGCAGCGGGCCCATGGCAGGCCCACGAGAGCGAGGCCCCAGGGACGAAGGATGCATGGGATGGACCCTGGCTCCGGGCCGGACCCCGTGCCGCCCACCCCGGCTGCTGTTCCCTGCCCGCAGAGGCCGTGTCCTCGCAGGAGCCCGCAGCCGACTGGGTGTAGGGTTCCCCGCTGGCACTGTGAGCCACAGGGGGCCACGGGGGTCCCTCTGGGCGGGGGCCGGTGCCCACTCCCCACCGCTCTCTTGGCAGGAGCAGTTCGAGTTTGCACTGACGGCCGTGGCCGAGGAGGTGAACGCCATCCTTCAAGCCCTACCCCAGTAGCCGCCGAGCCGGACGCGTCCACGCGCTGACCGCGGCCACCACCGCCGTCCTCCTGATTTCCTGCACTCCACCTGTGTCCATTCCACCCAGTAGTAATAAAGATCTGTGGGAGCATCGATTTCGGGGGACGCTCGGGGGGCAGCCTGAGGGTGGACCCCAAGGTGCCCACCCGAAGCTGCGGGGACCCGCCCCCTCCTGCCCCTTCCCCTCTCGGGCCTAAGTGTCCAGCTGAGTTAAGACCGTCTCGGGTAGAGCCAGCCTGACCTGGGGATGTGCTGGCCCCTCGGTCCTGGGAGAGGCCGCAGTCGGGGGTGGCACGGGAAGGGGAGGGGGCAGCAGGGGACACAGGGTCGGCCTGGCCGTGCTGCTCACTGAGGCTCCCGCGGGGATGAAGTCGGGGCGCTCACGAGGGGCCGGGCATGAGGGGTTGCCGGGGGCCTCCCCGCTGTGCCCCTGCCCCGAGGGGGCTCGGGGCAAGACCTGCTCGGTGCCCACCCAGTGCCAGGCTCTGCCCACGTCCCAGCGGCAGGAAACCCCCGTGGGCTTGACCAGCCCCTCCCGGCAGGCTCCTGCCCAGAGAAGGAACAAGGGGAGGCGGTGCCCCCCCCCCGCCCGGCCCTCACCCCGAGCTCCCCCGTGACCCCATGACCCCGCCCCTGCATCCTCCCGTCAATACGCAGTCGTACCTGGGTACCTTCAGACGTGTGCACAGGCTTCTACACTCACGCCTGGGCGCACACGTCAGCATGCGTGGACACGGATGCCACCGATGCAGGTGTGCAGGGTGCGCATATGGGCATGTTCGCATACGTGGCATGCACACACATACAGAGCATCCGTGCACACCGGTGGCCACCTGCGTGGGGCACAGCGCCCGGAGTGAGGCCCCTGGGCTGCGGCAGACAGCCAGCGGGACAGACCATGAGGGGCTGCTGGGGGCCTGCCCCACCAGGAGGGCCCCACGCCGCCAGCCTGAGGGGGGCTGAGTGTCCCGCGGGAGCAGCCGGGGCAGGACCCAGGCCACACCCACCCGCGGGAAGGCCCAGGGCGCCCCCTGACAGCCAGGTGAGCAGCCTGGATGCCGCCCTGCCCTGGGCAGAGGGGAGCACAGGGGGGTCGGGCAGCCCTGGCCCCGGCACCCTGAGGCAGCTCCTACACCCAGGCGCACCCCTGGGAGACAGCAGAGAACCTGCTCGCCGCTCCCCCCATAGGGCCAAGACAGCAGCCTGCAGCGGAGCCCCTGCCCAGCCGACCCGCCCCTCGCCAGGCCTGCAGGGGGGAGGGGGGAGGTGTCCCAGACACGCGTGACCTGCCAGCCACAGCACGGGTGACGGCCTCAGGGAAATGCAGCCCCCGGAAGCCGCAGGGGCACCCTGGGGTGAGGGAGGGGACGGCCACAATGCTGGGAGGTGGCGGAGGTGGTGGGAGGGGACAGGCCTCAGCAGATGGGTCAGAGGCCACCAGGACGGGGACCAGCCCTCGCACAACACACACCCGTGCCTCCACGGAGGCAGGGCAGAGTGCAGACACACCCACGCTGGCTGTCCACACTGCGTGTCCCTCACACGGACTGTCTACACTATGTGTCCCCAACACTGTCCGTCTAGACTGTGTGTCGTGCTCACTCTGACTACATCCCTCCTGCAATGACCGTCTCTTACCACATGTGCCCCTGCATGTATGTCCTGTGTGTTGTCAGCCTGTGCGGGGCGGCTGGCAGACCCGGACAGCAGTGGTGAGCTGGGGCAGCACTGGACCCCCCAGCCCAGGCCTTCTGGGTGCCGCCTCATTGCTCAGGGACTGCCCCAGGGCACGGGGGGACTCACAGCTGCGGTGCCCGGGGCTGGGCGGGCCAGATGGAACCCAGATCCCACGCACCAGGCGTGAGCGCCAGCCTCTGAGGGGCTTCCCAGCAGACACATAGGCCCTCCCAGGGGCTCCTGCACTCCCCCACCCGGCGCCAGGCCGCTTGCGGACTCTGAGCACGGTGCTCGTGCCCCTCTGCCCACAGACATCCCGGCCTCAGGGGCCCCAGGAAGAGGCCTGATGGAGCAGGGTGGGGCGCGGCAGTGACCAGTGGGAGGAAGGGCGTGCTCGAAGGCCAGGCGGGCGGAGAAGGCGCCTAGCAGGAGCCGAGGGCAGCAGGCTCCGCGGGAGAGGTTCGAAAAGGTCATTCCGCGTTTATCAGCCGGGGAGCACAAGGGGTTCCGAGCGGCGGCATCTGGAAAGGCCCGGAAACCGGCTCCAGTCACCATGGAAATGCCTGGGCCTCACGCACTGTCATCCCGGTATTAGCACGCCCCTCCCAGCACAGGGGCACTTCTGGCATTTACTTTATCATTTTCATCCGCGCCTTCCGCGGGGTGACCGGCCGACCCCCGAATCTCACACTGTCACTCATCATAAGTGAATTTATCAACATGTTCGTAATCAGAATACACAGGAGAGCTTTAACTGTTTGCATACGAAATGACTTCATTCTTCACGCTTCAAAAAAATTCAATTTTGCATAATAAATAATGATAAGGGCCAGTTGACAATTAGATAGGTGGGCCTGGCTGAGGACGGACTGGAATTTCAATGGCTGGGCGGCACCGGGCCCATTGTCGGTGCCATTAGCGCGCCCCACGCCTTGGCGGTTGGCGGCAGCGGCTTCAGCTGCAAATTGGCGCGGGTCCTATTAGAGCGTCCTCCGTCCTCCGTGACGTCTCGCTGGCTTGGATGCACCGCCAGCAAATATTAAAATTAATTAGGCTATTATTTTAATGCAAGAGGACGGCAGCCTGTCTCAGAGACTCTCAGTGGCACACGCGCGCACAGACGCACACAAAGGCCTGAACACTGCACACGCCTGCGCACGTGGACAGATGCTCGCACACGTCTGCATGCCTGTGTGCCTACGTGGGCATGGCACTGATACATGTGTGTTCACGATGCAAGGCAAGGACGACTGCCTGAGAGTGTTCACACACGTGCATCCGTGCGCATACACACCGGCACGCATGCTGCAGACATGTACGGGTTTGTGCGTACGCACGCTTCCACGCTGCGCACCGTGTGGACACGTGTGTGCACTGTGCGTGAATGGGCGCATGCTTTCTGCGGCACAGTGAAAAGACGTGTGGGCGTGTGTACACAGTGTGCTCGTGTAAGAGGTATGCATGCACACACACGCACACCCTGAGTAAGGGCGCCTTTTTTTTTTTCATTTTTCATTAGTGAAACACCATGAGGTACAGTTGAGGACTTACAAATTTTTGTGCTTGGGTTTCAGTTATACAATGATCGAGGACCCATCCCTCCACCAGTGCCCATCATCCCCCACCACGGGTCCCAGCATCCCCCCACCCCCCACCCCCCACCCCCTGTCCCACCCTGCCTCTGTGGCAGGGCACTCCCCCTTGTTCTCTCTCTCTTCTTTTGGGTACTGTGGTTTGCAAAAGAGGCAATGGGGTGGCAATCATGTTCGGCCTATAGTCTACTGTCACTGTAGCACTGTCCTGTTGTTCACTGATTTGCTCGAGCGGGCCCAGTAACGTCTCCATTGTGAGACTTGTTGTTACTGTGTTTGGCGTATTGAATACGTCACGGGGAGCTTGCCAGGCTTTGCCGTGCTGGTGAGATACTCTCAGTAGCTTGCTGGGCTCTCCAAGAGGGGTGGAGGAATTGAACTTGGGTCAGTCATGCTGGCCGCTTGCAAGGCAAACGCCCTAGCCGCTGTGCTACCACTCCAGCCCTACGGTCTACGATACTATAGAAATGATCCCTGAAAGTAGAGTCTTGAGGGTGCCTTTCTAATGACTCCTGGCGAACAGAGAAAACCGAGCTTGTCCGGTCTCCGGGCGCAGGGCTGGGGGCCAAGCAGGAGGGGCTCGGGCGGGCTCCCCTGTGGTCAGGTGTTGCCAGGGTCCCAGCCCCATGGCAGGTTTCTCGGGTGCAGAGCTGGGCTGAGGGGTCCTGACCCTGTGGTTCCTGACTTAATTCCTCCGGCCTCAGGGCACCCCCCCCAGGGTGGCTAAAAGCTGAGGAAGGCCTGTGGGCATGCAGAGTGCCCACAAGGCAGCCCTGGACATGAGCGTCCACCCCACACGTTCCCTCCTGCTGCTCTCCCCGTCCAGTGGGTGCTGTGGGGTGTCGCCAGCAGGGGGTGCCTTCTGGCCCTTGTGTGGAAGCCAATGTCCCTTGAGGCCCTGCAGAACCTGGAAGTGGAGGAGGTGGGCATCCCTGCCGGGATGTGGGTCCAAGCCCCGGGGAGAGGCCCCAGCCCCACCGCAGGACGCTGCACCCGGATCCCTGCATACACAGGGTGGGTCCCAGCCCAGTCTGCGCGGTGTGCCCCCCTCGTCCTGCCTGCAGGGGTGGGAGTGCCGTCCCTGCCCCCCAGTGCCCCAGGGAGCAGGCCGGGAGCTCAGTCAGGGGTGGACACACAGACGGACAGCCAAGGTCCAGCAGCCGCAGCTCAGACACACGCCGGGTGGAGGCGCCACGGGGTCTGGGGCAGGGCGGTAGGGGGAGAGAGGAAGGGGGAGGGGCAGCTGGGCATGGGGGCACGTTGGGGGTGGGTCTCGGGGCAGACGAGATGGACATGGACGGGGGTCTCAGGGGACGCAACCTGGGATGGTTTTGGCCTCACACACGGGGAGTGTCCAGGAGGGGTGTGACAGGGGCCTGGGGTCAGGGCCACTGGACTCTCGGGCCAGGCGGGAGGCAGGACTGAGGGAATAACTGGGTCCTGCTGGGGATGGGGATGGGGCCGGAGCAGCCCCCAGACGGCCCCCCAGGGACCCCAGGACGGCTCCTGGCACAGGTGCTGGGGCGCCCCCTGCTCATTCCTGATGCTCAGTCGCCAGGTGCGGGTCGCCTGGGGCCATCCCCGCATGCTCCCCCCCAGTGCTCGCCCCGAGGGCATGTCCAGCAGTCACTGAGGCCCTCGGGGCACACCCCAGGCTCTGCAGGCGGGACCAAGGGGGTGGGGGGAGGCCCAACAGGCCTGAGGAGGAGCCAGG